CACCCAGGTATTGAGGATCAGATTTGCAGTCTTTCTGCAGCCTGGGCTCCACTCACTGAGCTGAGCCGTCCAGCTTTACCTCCAGGGTTTAGCGTGGGGCAAAGCGGCTCCTGCAGCCCGCGGAACTTCCAGGGGCCGGGGTTTTCCCGGGAGTTCCCTTCTGGGAACTACCCAGTCTCCGATTCCCTCGCAGTTATCTACCTTCTAGTGAGTCCAGGGTGTTTTCGTTTGGGTTAAAACTTGTAGTAAATGAGTCTATAGTCTGTTTTCAGTCCTCAATTTCTATGCCGGCGGCCCAAGCTTGAGAATTTTAACTATACTTTCATTTTAAAAAAAATGGTAGTATTACTATATTATGAGTTTTATGCTATTTCTGAAACTTGAGTGATGCAAGAGTTGATAAATAAAAAAGGATACTGAGAGTAGAAATTGTAATTATCATTGAAGGCAAATGTTATATTTTACCTACTTGTTCTTTTGGATCCTATCATAATAAAAATAGTTAGAATGTTTTTAGGATGTAAATACTATTTAAATTTCATTAAGAATATAATGTTGTTAAAATTGCTTTTGTTTGGATTGCTAGTCCTAAAATTTAGTTAAGGAATTTGAAACTTCTTAAAAACTACTATCAAAATAGATTTTATCAGGTCCTCCCTGGTGGCACAACAGGTTAGAATGCAGCACTGCAAGCTAGCCACAGCCACTTCAGTGCTATTTCAATCCCCGGCCCCGAAGGCCATCCACATGGCACAGCAGACCTCTCCTGACCTACCCGCTGCTCCTCTCAGCAGTGTACTTCGTTGATTTACCTGTTACGCTTCCCACTTCTGTGTCTGGTGAATCCTCTCAACCCCCTGCACCTCTGGCCTGTACCCCCATTCTGTACCCCCATTCTGTATGTCTAAATAAATAAGTAAATCTAAAAAAATAAAAAAGATTTTCTTCCATGAATTATTCTTTCTCTTCTTCCTTCTTGACTGTCTGCTTTCTTAAAATGAAAGTTCTTTTACTCCTTTCATTGTCAAAAAACAAACATCAAAACCCATTTCCTTGATTTCACTTTTCCTTTCATTTCCTTCTTTATTTTCCTTTATCACTAACCCTTTGAAAGACTTGTCTCTACTAACTCATTTTGCATTAAATTCTCTACTGTTGTGTGATTCTGACTACACCACACTATTCCCACCAAATTAATACTGTGATCCAAATCACTGGATACTTTTGATCTCCTTATCAGAATTTGATTTTCCCTCCTCCATCCTCTTTTTAAAAAATAGTCTTTTCCAAGGCCTTGTTGTTACACTTCCTTGGAATTTGTAACATCTTTTCCTCTGCCTTTCAACTACATGTTTTTTTTCCCTCAAATTTTCTAATTATAAAATTTTAAAAGGAGAAAATATATTCTTTTTTTATTACATTGTTTATTTTATATATTTATACATCATTCTTCATTTTGTGCCTTTTTCCATCTCAGTTGTAATCCCTGTGGACTTCCATCACCAATACACCCCTGTGCCATCACAATAGTTGCATGTGCTTTTCCATCCCAGTTTTGATCCTGTTCTTCTTTCTGCCCCCATAAAATGTCTCTGGTTTATAGTTGTTTGTTGATTTTTGTTTTTCTTTATTACAATTGTTTGTTTTATGTTTTGTCTCTTTTTTTAGATTCTGGGCTTACATACATACCTCACTGATTATCTGGTAGTTCTCTTGATAACATCAAATGCAATCTGTTCCAAATGGAATTGATTGTTTTACACTATTAGATCTTCCTCAAGCTGTTTTTTTTCTCAGTTTTTCAATAATTTGCTTGAGCCAGGCTATTGCTTGCCTCATCAAGCTTTCCATTCTTCCTCCATAACAGAGAAATACTGACTGACTTTATAGCATAGAGCGAAAACTGAGGGTACAAATATCCATATAGGCTTTGACAAAAAAAAGTTGTATTAAATTTTCTATATTGTATAATACAGATTTTTAGAGAAAATATTAAATATTGATTTGCATAAAATTACTATTTTCAATTTTTTAGAAATTTGAATATGTAATTGATAATGCTCTTTAGAGCTTTTTTAATGCTTAAAGTGGCTGTATACATTTGTTGATCAAGATTTTTAATTTCTACAAATTTTATGTTGTCTCTTTGTCATCTGATGTGCCTTGATTATCTATAGAACATTATTCAAGAGCAACTTTTCTGTATCTTTTGTCCTTTGTTCCTTCAATGAAAAGGGGGAGACAAATTCATAACCATTAGTAAAAAATAAGTAAATCTGAATTGTGTGAATTATACTGCTTTTAGTGTTTATTATGCTACCATAAAAATATTTTTATATACTTATCTTGAAAATGGATTTTCTGAGGCCACAAAAAAAGCCTCTTTAAGAAGAATTTTTTGATTCATAAAAATGAATTGAATTCAATAATGAATAACCTGTTAACAATGAGACCTTTATTTCTAAAACCAAATAAAGTTTGTGGTTTTTATATGGCATAAATTTTGATTTTTCAAGAATTATATGTTGAATTATTTGTTAACGTCAAAAGCCAGTATAATGCAATGTGCCTATTAAACAGAACCTTCTCGGATGATAATGTGATTGAAAATTTAATAATAAAGTAGAATGTTTCAACTGATGAAGGATAAAATGACCAGGGGGAAAAATTGAAAGTCAATATTTTATGGCTCACCTGTTAACCTGTTTGCAATAACACCAGTTAGGGAGTTTGTCTTTGTGCCCAGCATCCAGAGTTACCTTTTAAAAATGAAAATCAGGTAATTTTCACCTTCCTGGTCCTAAACTTTCTGGTCCTGGACTGTCATCTTTGAAATAAAATAGAAGTGTTTTAGTGTATTAATCATACCAAAAAGTGTTCTACATAGAGGACATTGTCTTCAAAAGAATTTGTATGTATTTGTAGGCATTCCAAACCTGCTCACATCACAGGGCCTTTGCATCAGCTGTTCCCTTCCTGGAAATTCTCTTCTAGAACTTTGCTAAGATCTACTTTTTATAGCATTTAAATTTTTTTTACTTCTAGGTAATCTTTTTAAAAGGCCTTCCTATTTTTTCTTTTTCTCATCATTTCTTACTAGCTCCCATTATTCTTACTTCCTGATTATCCGTAGTATCTTCCTATACATTTATCTTCTCCCTAAATGAGCAAATTTCTCTCCTCTTAGCATTAAAGTATCTTATTAGTCTCTGTAATGAATCGTTAGGTCTAATATTGTGACCTAACCTAATTTGCCCATGCAAGCCCTTTCTGAATTTCATAGTTTTCTTGTTATCATACTCTATTTAAATACTTTTTTCTTACATATCCTTCACCAGACTTACATGTGTTTTGTCTTATTATTCCTCATTTCAGTGTTCAGGGACTGTTAGCATAAACTCGCATTAAACATTTATTGATATAGTGTTTTTGAGGGTACCACAGTGCTTAAGTTAACATCTATTTAAGGTATCACTTTGGTTATATATAGCTTTGGTTGGTGAAAGGATTTATTTGATTTATTTATTATACTTTTTAAGGTACTGTCTGTTGAATATTTTTATTCTTTAATAAAACATTTTCATAATTTTGATTGAAGCTTGAATAAAAAGTATTATTTTCCCCTCTCCCTGTATAGTTAAAGCCTTCCATCTTAAATATGATGAAGTTCGTCTGGATCCAAATGTTCAGAAATGGGATGTAACAGTATTAGAACTCAGCTATCACAAACGACACTTGGATAGACCAGTTTTCTTACGGTTCTGGGAAACATTGGATAGGTAATTCTGATCCTAAAATGCACTAACTTCTGCTTTATTGTAGTGATTTTCCTCAGTTAGGTTTTAGTTTATTTTAAATTGTGAACCACATTCCCCTTGCTCCCCTTTTGAAACATTGTCTACAGTAGTTAATTAACTGATCTCCATAGCAAGTGTTTGTTATGTTGACTTTTTAGGACTTTTTATAGCTTAGTAGAAGGATGGCTAAGAGTATGAGTCAGAGACCTAAGTGGTTTTGTGATCTGACTCTAATGAACTATATGACTTTTCTAAATGCTGTTTTCTGTATGTTCAATGATTAAGTGATCCCTACAGGTTTTTGTTTTGTTTTGTTTTGTTTTTTTGTTTTTGATTGAAGGGAGGGGTGGTCAGCACAGGAAAGTACCTGGATTTGCGTTATTGGGTAGCCCATGAAAGAAATTCAGTTGTTGAATTAATTTTAGTTACTTGTAAAGAGTCCTTAAAGCCCTTTATAATATCAGTATTGTAATTGGCAACTTTTAAAACAGTATATGATCACAGTTAACACTACTAAATTTTTTATCCTAATTTAGGTCATTAAAATCCTTAGCTTTTTTGGTATAAATCTCTGCTGAATACTGTGGGTTTCCTCAAAATCAGAAGTGATTGAGTTACTCCAATGATTATAGTTGTTAATATATTAAAGAGCAATATATTGTAATATGCTTAATTTGAGTAATATAATTATATTAAAGATTACATTAAAGGAAAATATGTTACTTGAGCCACAGCCTGTTAGATTATAGTATTAAGAATGTTTCTTCTGATTTACTTCAAAAGCCCTTATATTCACAAAGGTTACAATGCCAGTTTTATGGTCTTTTGGAAATATCCTTTTCTCCTGTTGATTTTTTTAAAAAATATCAATTTATATGTAATAATCTAAATAAAATTTCTGTAATCACTGTAACTTATTATAATACTCTTTTTTTCAGGTACATGGTAAAACATAAATCCCACTTGAGATTCTGAATTACTTGATTTCCCTTTTTCCTGGAAATCTGGATTAAGAAGCATGGATATACCTTGATGTAAAGACTGACACTCAAGCTTTATGAATTTATCAAGAACTTACAAATGAAGAAGGTCACAGATCGATCTTTTATAAGATCTTGTTTGATGCTTTATGCTTTAATGGGATGATGCCTGTCATCCATATAAGCAAACTTTTTGGCTTACAATTATTTTTTTAATATTAGCCTTTTAGTCTGTAATGGAAATTGTATATTTTGATAGAAGTTTTTTCTCCATTGGTTAAAATTAGCATTACTTAAATTTGTTTCTTTAGAAAATAAATACAGGTTTAAAATGTGTGTAATATTTAGAGGTTTTAAGGCTCTTTAAGCCATCTTGCTTCTGATTTTTCATTGCTCTTTAATTCTTTTCATTGAAAATACTATATTATGAATGGTATTAAATTTTAATTTCTGGAACTTTCAAAAGCAAGCAAAGGGATGTGACTATTTCAAATGACTCAAAATGTCAATCTGTATGTGTACGTTCTCTACACTTTTTATTTTAAAAGGAATAATGAAAAATCAAAAACAATTCTTCAGCTTTGGTTAAACTCTTAACTTTTCCAAGACTTCTTTACTTGTAATGAATACATTTAATGAATGTACATTCTTCTCACTGACTTTGGTGATTTTAAAACTTAGAATGCTATATTTCTGTGATATCTTCCCACTTGAGAAATTTCAAAACACAGATTAAAAATCTAATAGGCTATAGTTCTTTTTATTTGGGATCCATAGTATGATTTGGGGAAAGTAAGTGTGTTAGTCCTACTGCAGTGTAACTTAACTTCCTTATCTTTTTCTCCTAAGTTCACCTTTGATCCTTAATATGGAATTGTATTTTCAATCTTCTATTTCTAAGCATGTTGATCTTAGAATTCTTATCTTCCATTATCCCTAAATATTGATTACTCCAGACACCAAAGAACACATTTGCTTAACTAAGTGTCTGAACAGGAACAAGATAAAAACACTGGTATTTTTATGTGTGTATTCAATATCGTATAAAATATAAAACCTATATTTTAACTTAGTGAAATATTTTGCTACTTCTCTACTTTAAACAGAGTATTGCATCCAAGGTACAGTGAATATGCATCTTCCTTGAGTCTTGATTTCACCTTTTATTACTTAAAAGCAACTTGGAACCTAAAGGGTTTTTGTTATTAGATTTGTTGCTGATCATTCATCTCATGTTATTTTTCCCCTCAGTGATCTCTCTTGGAGAACATAATTTCTTACAAACATTTAGCTCGTTTTTATGTTAAGCTGACATTACCTAGCCTCACTTTCAAATCTTATGCTATCATACAGATGAGAAGCACTTACTATTTATTTTTTAAGTAACCACACAAGTTCATATCAGTAGTGAATAGAAAAAGTATTTATTCATATGAAATTCACTAGATTCTTCTGAAGAAAGGCAGTTAACATTTAAAGTTGCTGAGTTTTAGGATAGGTATAAAGGTTTAAACAGATTCTGCCCCTTTCTTTCCTCCTTTTCTGCATCCTTTCTTGAAAAATAAAAGAAAACTCAAATTTGTTCACATTAGAATTTCTCAACACATGAATCTGTTTTCAAAATAAATTATGTATTGTGTAAACGTTCTCCATGATAAAATAGTTAAGTACTAGAATCTGTAATATTTTAATGTAAATTTACTTGTTAAGACTACTACAAGTGAACATGAACTACCTTTCTATAAAGATTTTTAGTATTTATACTTATGTCATGTATGAAATTTACTTGATAAAGAATGGTTAAAATTGGGAACATCTACTTTAAATAGGGTTTATTTTTCTATCGTGAATTGCCTTATGTATATTCAAAGGCTTCTGGAAATACTGTAAGAAACATTAGGAAAAGAATTAATATGCTATGCCATGTATCTTAAAATCAAAGTCTTAGTGTGTATCTCTTTTTTGTCAGTTTTAGCCCATACTTAGTTCCTTATAATTTATTTTCTAGCCACTGATTGGGGGAAAAAAACTTCCAAGTGATCACTAGTCATTCTCTTATTACTCCAAGTCCTTCAGTAGCACCTATCACAGTGCCTTGCACATAGTAGGCATTCAGTAAATACGTAAATGTGTGACTGAATGGTGTATTTCCAGTATATCAGACTCATCGCAAAAAAGTACTTTGACTTCTTATAGTTGGTCTTGGAGTTTGAGCATACAGAACTGTAGGGAATGAAAAAGGTATTTTAATGGACATGAGTACACATCAATAAACTGTTAAGTTACTGTTAACTGGAGACACCCTTGACCTGTCCCACTAGTAAAGGAAAATTCAATTTCTTTATTCATAGAACACTTGGTTCTGAGTCAGGTAACAAAAGCTTAATAGGTTTTAATCATAGTTCTCAACCCTGACTATCCAGAATCATTGGAGAGCTTTTAAAAATAACAGTGCCTGAATCCTGATTCTGATTTAAATTGTCTAGGACAAGACCTGGTCATCAGCGTTTTTTAAAAGTTTTCCAGGTGATTTTATGCTCCAGAAAGATTAAGAATCTCACTGGTTTAACTTGTAACTGAAAACAATACCAGTATTAAATATATCCTGTTTTTCTTATTTTCTTTTTTGCGGCTGCCCTTCACACTAGACCAACTCCATTATTGCTGGTATTGGCCTATAGTTCCACAGGATATAAATTCAAGTTTTATTTATTTAATATAGGAGTGTTTTATTGTTTAATATTTAAACAATGTTTAATATATTCATGATAAACAAATATAGTTTAATTTGTTTCCCATGTGTCCATATCCTTCACTAACTTTTTAAACAGTATGACAACAGTTCATACGGAAATAATTAATTCATAAGGAAAAATTCTATAAATTTTAAGATAGAAGAAAGTAAAGTATTAATTTATCTGCCATGCAGAATTAGACAAATAGTTTGCTTATGAAAGGGAAGAGGCGTACTTTTTAATTGGTCTACAGAAAAAAAATACTCATTTAAATAAAATTCATTATTTAATAACAATTTAAGGAAATAATTTTCCTAAATAAAAATTTTGTGACTCCTAACAAAATTAAAGCAATGACATTTTTCTTTTTTTGAGGGTGGGGAAGGTGGTATTTAGTTGCCATACTTCTTACTGTTGAACAGTTCCATTTTATTGGTGTTAACAATACAAATGATAATAGGATATACATATGCAGCCAGAAATAAAATGCCATCTTGCCATAACTATTATTAGAATTTTAGATGTTTATAAAATTCTTTAAACCCAACAGTGTTTTTAAATTTTATACTCACAATTATAGAAGCTGTTCAAATTAAACATGAAAAATTTAATTGCTTTAGCTTTAATATTCCTTGACTGAAATTGTATAACTTAGTTGGATTTGATATACAGCTGGTTACTCTAACTATAGTTTATTAACTTTAGAAGTAAAAAGGGGAGAAGTGGCTGAATTGGACTAGAAATTTTGAAATGCCATGTTCTATATGTTCTGACCTATTCATTGCCCAAATTTGGATATAAATTAACCCTCCTACTTAATGGTTTTTGTATAATATGGTAGAATAATAATTACAATAGATGTATAAAGAGTCACATTTAGTAAACACATAGTAGTTAATAGTATTTTAAGGGTAATTGATTTGTTTGGGTTTATATGTATTATTTAGGTAGTGTTTATAAGAGTTGACGTTATAAATGTGTGCTATTAAATGAATAAGCTAATAATGGAAATAAAACTAGTTTTATCGCCAAAATTCCAAAAATGGGTTGATACTGTGTCAAATTTAAGCAAATGATCTCTTCTCGAGAGTTTTGTTTGCCTTTCAATTCCACTTCTAGCCCCTTTAAATTTACTATGACACTTAATCTCCACATTTGATTATAGTGCTTAATATGTAATATAGCTACCACTATGCTCTTTTTCAAGCAAAGTAGTTCCTGAATGGAGCATTTAGACTACCAAATGACCCAGTAAAGTGTTGTTCTTATTCTGATTATTTCATTAGGTTTTAAGATTTTAGTGTTAATTTTAAATAAAACATTTTGAAGTTCTTCACATTAAGCGTCTTGGGGACATTTCCTGACCCCCTTCCTCTCAACCAAAAGTTACATTCAACCAAGAAGACATACTGTATTTTGGGATAGGATATGGATGATTTTAGTTTTTATGTAAAAGTGTTTCATGGGAATTTTCAGGTGTCCTGTTTTGGAAATAAATACAGAAGTTTCCACTTTGAAAACTAGTGACTTAATTATGCTGTCTTTAATGAGTTAAATGTAGAAAATAATTCCTTATAAAGGTAAACTACCTGCTCTCCTGAAGTTAGATTATGGTCAAATGTCCTGTGTTCTTGTTTTTGCAATAGAATTAAGAGTGTATACTGGGTAAATTGCAGTATCTTTACAGGTAGAGCATCTTGAATTAACATTTTATATAGTTTCAAAACAGACTATGTCCATATAATATCAAGTCATTAACACATCACCATATTGGTGGTGCCACTTAATAATAATGTGTGGATCTTCTGCAGCAGAATTTCTTTTAATGAAGAATTTAATGGGCCATATTTGAACTTAATTTTCATTCAATTCTTAAGTGCCCACTAAGTATGTATTTTATTCTGCTCTTCTGTTCCCTTTGGTCATCTGTTCTTGACTGAGCATCCATATAACTAAAATAGATATAGCTTGAGTTGTAAATGCTGTTGAATATTTTTAAGGCTCTAAGGTGCTAGTATATAAATAACACATTGTCAAATAAGCTTATTTCTCATTTTGTTAAACACTTTCAATCTTGTAATGATTAGCATTTATGGTGGGTTGGAAGACTTTTTCCTCCAAATTTTCATAAATGATCATTAAAATCATTAAAAGTGATTCTGGAGAAGGCTGTTCTGTTGAATCTTATAATTTGTAGGTCTTGTAGCACAGAATTATTTAATTTATAACAGCATCATCCAGAGAATATTGAATTATATTACATAACTAATGTAAATAGTGTTGAGGCTACAGAGAAGTGTGTATCACATTTGGGTAGACATTTTATTGGGCTGTACAACTTACGCCAAAAAATTCCAAGTGGACTATATACAACAATCACTGTGATAAAACATGGCAATTACACTCATGGAAAAATGTCTTCTTGGAGTTTACGGTATTAAAATTGAAAATATGGTAATGGCATCTTTCTCTTAAAATTGTTAATATATAAATACATTAATGTTTTTCTTAAAATGAAGTAGTTTGAAAGTTGACATATCAAGATGGTGTAATGGTTGGGGAAGACTTGGAGCGCTTGCTCATTCTAAGCAGTTATTTTTGCATAGTTGCACTTCTGTGATGTTTATGGTGGTTTTGAATGTATACCAGTTTTAAAGTATCTGTATTCTTTTTTTTTTTTTTTTAAGATTTATTTATTTATGCACACAGAACTGGGGTAGAGGCCAGAGGTGCAGGGGCAGTGAAAGGATTCTCCAGAGACAGCAGGCAGGTCAGGAGAGGTCTATCGTACCATGTGGGTCCCCTCCGGGGCGGGTGGGGATTAAACTCATGCTGAAGTAGCTTTAGCTTCTTAGTGCTGTGCTTTAACCTGCTGTGCCACCAGCGATGGCCCTAAAGTATCTGTGTTCTTAGTTCTGTGTGTTTTTGTTGTGCAGTGCACCATTCAGTTCAAAAGGAAGTGTAAGAGTTATTGATGGTAAAATAAATTGAGGAGTATTAGTG